CTTCAAATCAATAACCCTCAGAAGAGGATTTGACAACATGCCCACTCTTAACCCAATCACCAATCACCATGGCAAGGAAACCGGGATATTATAACTGGGCCTGTGTCAAGTGGTCATCCTCCTGGCAAGAAGATGGGATACTGTGACTGCAGCCTCAGCACAATCTCTTGACTAAGTGGGGGCAAAACAGCTCCACAAAAGAAGTGGGTAGAAATGGACACACACACACACACACACACACACAACTACCCAACATGTAAGTTTTCCAGAAGGAAAGACACTTTTTCAAAAAGAAGAAGGGAAAGAAAGAAAAAAATATCAGGAATAAAGGGGTTTGGGGACATGTAAAATCCATAGCACTGTGAAAGTTCTAGGGTGAATTTTACTGTTAATATGCATACCTCTATACTCAATCTGTCCCTCCAAAAAAAGGATCTCATGTCAGAATAGGTTAAGATTATTTTTAATGCAAATAACTGACTCATGCTGTTCTAAAAAAAAAAATAATAATATGAAAATGTTATCTCTGCTAAATGTAGGATGGGCTTCAGGATTCAGCAATATTCAACAATATTATAAATCTAGGATTTCTTTCATCTCTCTGCTTTATCATCCCCAGCCTTAGTATACAGTTCAATTTCAGAGTGAACGCAAGATACAAATAGCATTCAAACACATTATTGTCCAGAGAAAGAAAAGAAACCTTCTCTACCTGTGGTTCTCTTAGAAAAAGAAGAACTCTTGTCAGAAGTCCTTTGCAAACTCTCTCCTGTCTCATTGGATAGAATTAGACACATGACCATTTTGAACCATCCACTGGCAAAGGAAGGGATATCATTCTCAGTTAGTTAGCCTACCCTTGCAGGTAGTGTCAGCTTTCTGTGAGGCATGTGGCTATACAGGGAAAGGATAGTTTCTGTAAGGATGGAAGAAAAGAAGTGGGGAAAACTGAGCTGGCTAAGCAACTAATCGTGTTCATCTCAATGTTTTAATGACAATTGCCTGGCTCAAGCCAAATATTTCATTGCTGAATTTCCTACATCTGGAACTGTGCCTGGAGCACAGTGGATATGCAATAAATACATGCTGAATTAATGAATGATTTTGAAATTTCTCAACCAGAATATATTCAGCATTTAGGATTAGTGTATAGAGCATATGAGAAAAAAATATAAATAAATTAGTCAGAAAACAGCAGAAGACAATGTAACCCAGATTTGTGGAACACTTTTGATTTCATGTAATTTATTCTGTTAAGTAAAAGTTATTTATTAAATGCATAACTACATATGATCAAATCTTATGCCTTTTTAAGATGCTTCAATTAAATTATTTCCCAGACTCAAAACATGTACCAGTTAGGGTACTGGTAAACACAGTCTTCTTCAGCATAGATGAAGCAGATACTCCCAACACCCTAAGGTTTTACTTTCGCCAATCTCTTTAGCTCAATGTGCTAAGCCCCACTGCAATATAAGTAACGTCAAGGGAGAGAGTATCCTCATCTATTATCTTTCTTAATATTGTTACACAGTACAGATTAATAGCATGACAACAGTTAAAAGATTTAATTCCCCTATTACCTCGGTAGGACAGAACTGAAATCCATCCAGAATCCTCTCCCTAACTCTCAAGGAGGCATAACTTTCTGGCCTATCTCATAATTGCTCTTTCTTCTATCGCCATGCAGCCTTATCAACTCCCAATCACCATGATGGCAATTAATGGGTGAGAGCTAAAAGGTAGTCTAGAAAATCTACATGTCACTAATGATTCATATGCTTCTGCTTTCACCAGTGTTCCTATCACATTCAAGGTGGCAACTCCATGTACTGGACTATTCCACCTGGGAAGATTGAGGGAATCAGGCAGTTGCTATAGGAAACACAATAAAAAGCCAGAATCTCAGTTCTACAGCCATCACTTCTTAACTACAAATCCCTGGCATGTCTCCAAGCTTTGGTTTCTGCAACTATACATAACAAGTACAAACAGCTACACACACTAGAGATGCAAATATAGTCCTATCACTTTCATTAGCAAGAAAAATTATCCAAGTTCTTAAAGCTCCTCATTCCTATGAGTTACCCAAGAAATTCAAAGGATTTAGAGATCCATAAAAGGGGTGTTTCTTACCTTGGGTATGGAAAATTGAATCTGATCAGTCAAAGGCCTGCTATAGTTTCTCTGTTGGGTCTGGTTCTTTACCAAAGTTGCTGCAGATCCACGTCTGTGATATTTCACTACTACAGATCCCAGCACAGCTGCAGTGATTCTTTGAGAGAGATGAGTCCCAGTCCCTTTACAGCTAGGGCTACGCTCAGCCAACAATGACCCAAAGATGGACTTTTGCCAGTTACAGATCTAATGACTGACACTGTAGTTCCTACAGCCAGCCATTTTCCAGGCACCATCCAGCCCCAGGAGTACTGGATCACTCTTGGTTCTACATCCTCTCCTTCTCAGATCCTGAACTACTACCCACCCACTTCCTTTCCAGACTAGATACACAGGCCACTTTTCCACTGATGCCTTCAAAACTAAAAAGGTCTGATTATATAGCCTTTGCCTTCAGAATATGGGGGCTTTTGTCTACTCTTCTAAGAGTCACCACCCAGGGACTTGAGAAGGACAAATTCTACCATTCTTAAGAAAAGCTAGCCTCAGTGGTTCTAAACACATTTACTCTTCTAAGGGGATGCTCCCTAAGTAATGTTAAGATGACCACATTTATCCCTCTGAATGAAGGGGATCTGCCTTCTGTGATTCCAAAGTGATTTTCCTAGCACCCAGAGAAAAGAAAATATAATCTCCTGTGGAGCACATTACTGCATGTCCACCTTTGTTATTGAAAGGATTATATGCAATAATGTGAAAGTATTTCATTGATCACAGCACATTATACTGACATTAATTGTAGTATGCCCTCACATAGTAGAAGGGGCAAAAGGGATGAACAGCTCTCTCACACCTCCTTTATAAGGCCATGAATTCCATTCACAAGGGCTTGGACATCATGACTTAATCATCTCCTAAAGGCCCTCACATCTTACTTAATATTATCACATTGATGGTTAAGTTTCTACACAAATTTTGAAGGGGATACAAACATTCAAACCATAGCAAGCCCTAAACTATAGCTAGTGTTTATTGAGTACAAGATAAACAAAACACACCTGTATTAGTTCATTTAATGTTCATCCGTGTCATAGTTATTATAATGTCCAGTTTTCAGATAAAGCAGTTAAGGCCTAAATATTAATAGAGTGGTACATTGCCAGAATTATATAACTAGAAGGCAGCAAAGGGAGTATTTGCACCCAAGTATCTACACCAGCCATACTCAGTGACTTACAACAGCATTTATTTTCATGCCCAGGAATGTGCAGGTCAATTGTGATTCAGCTGATCTACGCTATTCTCAGCTGGGTGGCTCTGTGTCAGGCTATGTATTACTTTATATATCTTACTCGGGGCCTCAGGTTACCAGGGGCATGTCCTTCCTGTGGTGGATAACCAATGAACACAGGGGCAGGCCCAACCACCCAAGCAAGCATATTTCAAACCTCGGTTCCAATCACATCTGCTAACATCCCAAAATAGATCTCATGGCTAAGCCCAACATTTGCATGGAAAGGAAGTTTACCACTCTACAATGGAATGAGGGAAGAACATTTGTGGAACAATAATTCAAATTATCACACCAAGTCTTACCAACTTCAGAATCTGAGCTCTTATTTATTTTCCCACAGTGCCTCTCTACTATTCTAGGACAGTATCTCTCGAACCAAAAAATGATGATTAAATTTCTTTTTCACTATTAATCTGCATGGGATTTTAGGTTGTTCCCTTTACTTATTGTCTATAGTCACCTGGCTTAGCTCTTCCAAACAGCTGAGAGAGCCCAGCTGGAGGGTAAAGTTGATGTAAAGTTGTAAAATGTAAAGTTGATAGACCATCATTTCATGCTCATCTCAAAGGCCAGGGTGTCCAGCCCCAATAAGCAACCTGCTGGGTTCTACAAATTTGCCATGCTTCGCTCTGTTAAAACTTTATTGGGCACGGTATGGTAACTCAATTAATAGTGACAATGACACTGGCAAGTGTCACCAAAATTGCAACCAATTATTTTTTCCTTAATATCTTTTCAAATCACAAGCTGACCAAGCTCAACAGGAGCCATGTCCTTCCACAGGGCTTATTTAGTCTGTCTCTGTCTTCCCCATTAGCTTCCACTGCCAGGGTCCCACAACTCTGTAACCAGCTGTAAGCCTCTCTCTTCTTCCAACAGCAGTGAAGCTTCCGCCCAAAGGAGCTAATTGAAAACACAAATCAGGCTGTTTGGCAGGATTTTGTGCTGTTGGTAGATTTTTTTAATTTGGTTTTTTTCCCCCATGAATCAAAAATTTGCTGACTTTATTATTTTTTCCTCCTCACAGTGATCCTAATTTAGGAAGCACAGACACAGAAACAATCCCCAAAGCCAGCCTGAATTACCACCTAAAGAAATGTATGAGGTTGGATTCAAAGCCAACCAGCACCTGCCCTGAAAAGGCTATAGACATGTGGCCTTCCAAGGTGTCCTGGACCCCAGCTTTCCCACTGGATTGCCATTTTCAGCCCAGATTTAGAACTTGTCTGGCTCACAGTAGCCAAAAGTCAAAGGATGACTAATTGTATCCATAACCAATTGGGCTTGCCAATCTATGACCTTCATAAAATGAAAATTCTATTATACACAATGTTCAATCCAGAAAAGTCTCATGATTGGGAGTTGTGACACTGCTACTTACATTGGTTTTTTCCTAATGCTTTTAAGCTAAAGTCCAGATGGGCAAGATATGATCCTCTGTATTAAGTACATATTTTCCAAGGTTGAATAAATCCATGTCATCAGAAAAAAAGAAGATATACATACCTTAGAGCTTCTCCCAAAAAGAAAGTTTCCATCTGGCCTCTTGGGATTAGATTCTGAAGATTATGGATGGAAGAACACCCACCTGAGTGAATGGAGGTAAATTTGTTGAAGCACTGCAGGATCTCCTGTTCTCAATCCTGGTATTTCTTTTCCCCGCTGAACGAGTATAGATAGAACAGCCTTTCCATTGACTCTGGTCATAGTATAAATTGTCTTCAAGCCAGACTTTCATGCCCTTATGGCTATATTTGGGGTTAATGTTGAAGTACACAATTTTTAGGCTGGGCTCAGTCTTAAACTGATGCTACATTTGGTAACATATCTCCATAAAAGCTTTGGCTAGCTCCATGTGGTCACTGGTCAGTCCATGGTGTGCACTCAGAGCCAGGTCCCAGGCAAAAAACACACTGAAGGATCTGTCTTGTCTCTGAATTTACCATTGACAACTTTCCCCATGAAGTCAACTTGCTGGGCTTAGACTGCTAAAGAAGTGCTTCTTTTTATTCCTTCTATGGCTTCACATAGTCTTTTAGCAACTAAATTTCTTTCTTTCTTCCTTGGAAGAAAGAAAAGTTTGCTTTTCTTTCTTGTGAACTACTGCTTCTGCAGACACACACAGTAGTGTCAGCTCTGGCTTCAAGGGTGAAGACATCCACTGGAATAAAGAAGCCACTGCTGGTATAAATGAATGATGGGCACTAGCCTATCATTCTTCCCAGGCAGAAAATGTATCTGCTTTATCAATCCCATCACTGCCTCCTGAAATTCTTACCTTCAGTGAAACAAGAATGCTCTCTGAACTCTAACTAAATGCTCGTCATTTCTGACACCATACTGACATCTTGATTAGGCCTCACCAGTGACAATGTTTACATCAGAGTACAGAATCATGGAGGAAGTTCTGAATGCAGGAATCACCCAATCTGCAATATAACTTTAGCTTTTTCAAAAAAAAAAAAAGTGCTGTCACAGAAGTCTACCCGAGATATAGTGATCTCAAAGATCTTTGGGGTCCACATTTTTTTGAAACTTTGATGCTCTTTATGTAGCTCCTTCAAATTTTTTGTAGACCCCCTAATCCACATGGTGCCCAGGATACCAATAAGAGTTAAGCCAAGACCATGGCACCCCACTGAATGATTTAGATACTGGCTTGAGTATCATGGCCCCAAGCAAACTTCCTATATCCTTTCCACAGAGCAGGTTCACTCTGTACTGATAACCAACTTGTGCCGAGTTCAGTAAGATAAACACACTTACACTCAACACATTACATGAAGCAGTGATAGCCAGCAAGGAACAAAAGCAGGTTAGAAGCCATTGTGAGCAGTTCCCCAGGGCTCAAGAAAGCTACTAGGGGAAGGTGGAGTCTCCACAGTGCATGCCCCACTTGCAGTACAACTGAGGGACCTTGGAAGGCAGCCCACCCCCAGTTGTATACCTCAAGGGCAAAAGGACTCACTGGGTAAAGCTCTGAAGGGTATCTTAGTTCCAGGATAAGGAGAAACAAAGCCAGGGCTGAGCTTGGTAATTCCTCCCTAATTCAAAATGATACATCCCCTAGGAGGGAGAGGAACAACTCTTGGGCTGTTTCCAGCAGTTCCTCCCTATCTCAGGATATCCTATTCCCAGAGCATTCTATGTTTATTCTTGAGAACTGCATGCAAGAAAGGGTGGGAAAACTGAACTGGTCCAAGGTCACCCAAAGAACTATCCTGCATTTTCCTCCCAAGGCAAAAGGCATTTTCACAGCTTTCAGGCACTCATTTGGGGGAGCTGGCTCTTTCTAAATTTTGGCTTCCCCTGATGACAATTTGCTGAGGCCACTGCTTTTTCTGAAGAGGTTCCTGCTAGGCTCAATTACTGCTCCCTCCAGCTAAGGACCTTTCTCAAAATGTTACCTTCCTCCTGCCCTTGGCAGCGTTTTTCCTCCTCCTTGGTGTCATCCTGCATCCCATACTACAGGTCTTTATGAGAAGCTCTGATCTGCACAATGCGTGACCTCCCTGGGAAATACGTTCTAGATATCTGAGGTAAATTCTCTGGAAAGTCTCTCTGGTTATCATCTGATTTCTGAGGAGCCTTTAAGCAGGAGGCTTTGAGGGGGTTTTTTTGTTGTTGTTGTTGTTTTTTCCTGAAACAGAGTCTCACTCTGTTGCCTGCGCTACGGTGTCAGCCTAGCTCACAGCAACCTCAAACTCCTGGCTCAAGCGATCCTCCCGCCTCAGCCTCTCAGGGTGCTAGGATTACAGGTGTGAGCTACCGCGCCCGGCTGTCTCTGAAGGCTTCAATCCAGAGATTTCCGGGTCCGTCTTCTGCTCTTCGGAAAATGTGTCAGTCAGAGCTCTCCAGCGGTGTTTCACATTGATGGAGGAAAAAGAGTTCACACCCAGTCAGAAAGGCTAAGAGGGAAAGAATTCGATTCCACAGCAACCACGACAGGCACTTCCATTTATCCCTGTACAAGCACAGCCGCCACCTTCTGCTGCCGGAGGAATCACCGAGGTGAACATCCTGACGCAGCGCCGTCCACAGGCCCAGGGCAGCGGCGCTCTGCACGCAGGAAGTTCCGCTTCGGTTTTAAAGCCGCAGCCCGAGAGGCTCCTCCCACAGCCCACCCTGAGTGCAACACTGCGCCTGCGCAGTTGAGCTCCGCGAGTCTTCAACATGGGCAGGTTTGAGTTGCTTGTTTTGTAGCCATTGGGCATGTTCGAGACCTATGGTTTTATGGCAAAGGATGGCACTTCCTGTTCCGAGAGTATTAATGAAAAGCAGCACTTTCGTGGGGAGCCAGAGCCCTTCCTGTGCTCCCCAATGTCTTCAGGAAGCCCCCAAGGAGCTCTCCTGCTGTGGTTACAAAACTTTAGCGTGCCTGAGTATCACCCAAAGGTTTATTAAAACACAGGCCACTGGTCCCCACTAGACCTAGGGTAGAGAGATTTTGCATTCCCTACAAGTCCCCAGCTGCTGATGATGCTAATCCAGCTGGGTCTACAAACCTCACTTTGGGAACCGCTGCTCTGCTTCCAGGCAGACCGTGTGTGGGGCGGCAGGGTTGAGGAGCCCAAGACAGCAAGATGTGGAACCATCTTCCACCTCCTTTAACCAAAACAAGAACCCCCTTTGTGTTTTACATATCCGGTGTCGTCATGAGATTTCATTTGGGTTAAGGTTTCTGCTGTAAAAGTAGTTGGACAACGACTTCTTTAGGTGGCATCCACATCTGGGATAGTCCAAACTAAAGGCAGAGAAAGGGTAACTCGCCTCAGGAAAATTAGAGGCAGGAAAGCTTCCACTCATTTAGCAAAAGCTGAAGGGTTTTTAAAAGTTAAAACGTTGTTATGTTGCTGAGGTAAAAAGAGAAGCCAGAGGCCTACTCAGGGGTACTCACACCTGTATAACAACATAAACATACAAAAGAAAAGAGTGATAAGTTGGTGAGGTGATGGACATGTTGATTAGTTTGATGTAGTCTTTCTACAATGTATACATAGATCAAAATATCATATTGTACTCCATAAATGTATACATTTGTTAATTAAATAAATAATGAGTGAAACTAATGTTACATAGTTGCTATGACAGAGGCCTCTTTATGGAAAACAAAAATAGTTCACATGCGGCTTAAATACTATTCCCCTGCCTCCCAATCCAGAAAAGACTTTCCTAATTGAACGTAGTACTTCAGATGTGTACTATTTACCCAAGCATTGATGAAAACAGGGCTGTAATTTTTTTTCTATTGCGAGAAATAATAATCAAAATGTGCCAGGAAGTGTGCTTAATGCTTTATATGCATCATCTCCTTTAACCTAATCCTTGGGATACCTATGAGATATTTTCATTTTACATATGAAAAAAAAAAAAACTTAAATTGATAGAAGTTAAAGCACTTAACAAGCTCCTGTGTGACAGAGCTGGGTTTTGAACATGTTAGCTCCCTGGGCCCAGGCTTCTATACACTCTACTCTATACACTTTTTTCTATAACACCTCTGACCTCACAAAAACACTTGCCTACTTTTCACTGAACAGACTGTTTTAATTTTTTCTAATCACCCTTCAAGACCCATCTGCCTTCTCTCTGGGAAGCCTTCACCCGAAACTCAGGGCTTAGTTAGTGGTACCCTGCTCTGCCTTACTCTATGATCCTATAATACTTTGTTCTTATCTCTCCCAGAGCTCTCACTACATTTGATAATAGTCAACCACCTGTGAGTTTGCCTCTACTATTAGGCTGAAGCAAGGCATAGAGGAGAATACGTGGTTAGCAAGTATTGAAGTTAGCAAGAACTGGTTCATATTCCATTCCAGTTCTTCCTCTTCTTAGCTGTATAAACATGGGCAAATTACTTAACCTCTATGAGTTTGACTTTTACCTCATTTTTAAAATCAAGATAATGCCAACAGGTAATAGTTGTGACCATTTTAATGAAATTAGATTATGTCAAGCCTCAATACATGGTAGATGCTAAATAGATGATAGAAGTTATTATAACTGTTTTTGTAACTGTTAAGTGAATGAAAGACAATTTCATCATGACCCACCATTGGCTTTATGCTTCTGACAACCTGCGATGACAATATTTCCTTACAACATAAATTTCAAGGAAAATATTTAACTTTCTCATTTAAGAAAAACAATCTTTTCATAAGTATGTATTTACAAATAATTAAGGTAGTCCTTTAAATATCCTTATAGTCATCAAAATAGATCCTAAAAGATCTCAGCTTTTCAACAGTTAGTTTAATGTTAGTTACTATAAGACTTTAAAAATAATAAAACTACAATTGCCTTTAAATGGCTGGCAAGTTTTTACTAAATTAGATTCCAACCTTTTTCTTCCAATTAATTTCAATGAGTCAAGTTTTATAGCATTTACACTTCAAGGGCTGCAGATTAATTGGAGGAAAAAGGAGGCTGAAAACAAATCTCTGTCAATAATAAATACATCATCATATGAGGGTATACAAGAAGCAAGACTAGCCATGTGAGTGACGGGTACATGGAACTCATTATATTGCTTCTTATATAGAATAGAGATGTCTGAAATTTTCCATGATAAAAGTTTTTTTAAAAGAGAAGCCAAAAATGTCATCACCATCATTTGTTAAATTTATTGAGCATTTACTAGGTATACCATCTCTTTTAATTTATGAAATTGTAACTTCCCTTTGAAGAGAAGAAAACTTACCCTAAAGAGATTACATAAATTTCCCAAATTCACACTCCTAATAAGTGGCAGATTTCAGGACACAAAATGTTAACCAGCTCAAGATATCTAGAAGGTTGGCCGGGCGCGGTGGCTCACACCTGTAATCCTAGCACTCTGGGAGGCCGAGACGGGCGGATTGCTCAAGGTCAGGAGTTCGAAACCAGCCTGAGCAAGAGTGAGACCTCGTCTCTA